ACAAAACTCTGTGAAGACAACTTTGATGATTGTAGTGCTTCTGTGTTTGCAACATTGTGATTGTCCTTTAAGCTGTACCTGGAGAAGCATGCTATTTTGTGCAAAATTGTGTCGTTTTAGTAGGAAATGTTTCATTTTTTCCCTGCCTTTTTTTTCTTCTTTACCATGACATAGAAAGCTAGAAGTTAAGACTATGCATTCACTTTTATGTGATAAGTATTAAATAGTTCTTGGTGACACCAGAGCATGTTCCTGTTTTGTGTGTTGGGGGGTGGTTTGTTCATTTTGGTGTTGCAGGGCAGTTATTTTTTAATGTCTCCCTTTTTTAACAGATCTTATGTGAGTGCATTTGTATTAAAGCTGACAGATAGCGTTTTAGGATTGCGTACGTGATTTTTAGTGACAGGATTAGTAGCGATGCCATACTCAATGCACAAGTTGGGAGAAGCATGCCATGCCAACTCCTTAGATGCTCCTTGCTGTTCATGGTACAAGTAAGGAAAACATTTTAAATGAGTAACAGGTATCTTTGGGAGAGAGTTGGATGCAGCATTAAGGCAGTTTCTGGTATTTTTAAATGCCTTCTGAAGACATATCATTCCTTATTATAAGCAGGATTTTCAGCTTTTTTCCCACCTTTTTTAAAAAAAAAAAATTGAGTTGTCTGTGCTTCGCAGAGCTGGGTGTGCCCTGCGCAAAGCACAAGATATTGTGCGTTCTCTCTGAAGACTGTTTATCGTTCATGGCCAAATGTTGTCAAACAAAATTTGTGTTTCATCACAGCCAATTAACCGGCGCTGGATATATGAACTGTTTGATTTCTCTCGCTTATGAAACCAATTCACATAGAAAAAAGCCTTTGAGTTAAATGAGGATGTCTTGAAGGAAGTCAAGGTGTTGTAAATGTGCTTTGAAGATCCACTGATGCCTGGTTGAAAAGTGGTGGGTTTGGATCGTGCTGCGCGTGGAGGGTTCCTCGGGCGGACGCTCACCTTTGATGGTTTTGCCTTCCGGTGTCTGGGAAGATGGAGCAACGCTGGTGAGGGTGCTGGTGAACTTGCGCGACGACAGGCACTTGGATGCCTGCTGTGGTTCAGGAGGGGTGAGAAGTAGGCTTAGTCCTACGTGGGGTTAGCCAAGGTCCTCTTGCCTTTACCAGCAAAACTTTGGCAATGTGGGTGTGGGTTTTGTTGGTTTTTTTTAAAAAAAACCTGAAAGTATGGTCCGAAAGTCCCATGCCTGGGATGCGTCCCCCTGCCCCAGAGCTGAGGCAGTGGGAAGCAGGAGAAGGCTGCAGTGGGAAGCAGGAGAAGGCTGCAGGAGGCGAGTGGGACTGCAGCAGGGAACAGGGCGGTGGCAACGCTGCAATTCCATAACGCGAGTTATAAAGTCCAGGATGATGATTGCTTGAGTGAACTCTGGCCAAAGCCATGCCCTTTTTGGATTAAGGATGAACAGAAGTACCAAATAGGATTTAGTAAGATGCTGGAATGAGAAATGAAAATTGTGTTTCTGGTATGGATGATTTGAATGACGCTCGGCTAGTTCATTTGCTCAGTACATCTAGATCAGCGGTTGAAGAATACGCTCAAGTGAATTCTGTGTCAGAAGTTTCTTGCTGAATTTCCGTCTTTCAATTCTTATTGAGCTGGAGAAGAGGCATGAGATTTGAAGAGTCAGTTGTGTAGTGAAGTCACGTACTAAACAGACTGTGCAGAGTACAGTGTAGCTAACTGCAAATATAAGAAAGCATATAGAATTCAGCTTTCTAAAAATGGAAATACTGTGGTGTGCTTTAGGCCCTGCTTTCTAATTTCATTTTTGAACTTTTCTTTCCCCAGATGTGGAAATTAAGGTGACTTGGGTCCTTGGTGCGGGGGCGTTAGTTTTGTCTCCCTTGACCTGGCTCTGCTCCTCCTGGGAGTTCACGCTCACTCAGGCCTCCTGGGAAAAGGGAAAGGGAAATTGTAGCAGGATCCTCTTGATAGCGGCAGGTACAAGTCAGCAAGTTCTTCACCTTCCACCTCCAGGCGCCATGTGCAGGGAGGGAGGAGCAGAGATGCTGTCCTCCTGCCCGGAGGGTGGGGTAGGGGTGGCAGGAGCTCGGCTGCACCAAGCTGCTCCGGGCTCTTTTATCTTTTGGGAAAAGGTTTACATCTGGGGAGAGAGGGAGAAGCAGTTCTGCCTCTGTGCAGCTCTGGCTGCGTCTGCAGCGGTGGTGGGAGCGGCGGGGCAGAGCTCCTTCCCGCCAGCCGGCGATGAAACCGGGAAAGAGCGGAGCTTCTCATCCCAGCGTGGGACGGCGCTGGCGCCCGCTCTGACTCAGCGCGAAAAAACCTGAGGGCCCAGCAAATAGTACATAACTTTGATCGCAGTAGTAGAATTTTGGATGGTGGATTTTAAAAGTTCGTTGTAATTGCAAGTGGTCTGCAAACTTAGTTTTGCAATTTCCGTTACGCTGAAGTTAATTGCTCGCAATGTTGATTTAGTCGGCGCGCCTTAGTCTTCTGCTTTTCAGAGTACCTCTGCTGCTTGCTTTTCCTGAACACAGGCAAATTTATCTTCTGTTACCTTTCGTGGCTGTGCAAGATATTAATTTGGCTGGGAAGTTAGCTGAAGTACAGAGTTAAGAAAGCCCCGCTAATTTAATTTATTTACACATTTAATGCTAGTGTGATTTTAATAGCTTAGTACACATTGTAAGCACTTTAAATCTCTCTGTAGAGATTTAGAAGATTGGATAGAAACAAGGCTACCTCGGATCACATTCAAATTATTGACTGTAAGAAAAAGTTAAAAAACCTTAAGCCTAATCCCCATACAGTCAGAATGACTACCCATGAAGATATTTATCATTTGCTATACTACAAAAGACTGGGGAGGGGTGGTAAAAAGTGCGATTAGCTGCTGTGTTTCTGATGACTAATTTTGCATTGACCGGGCAGGTACGGCCAGATCAGCTCTGGTTTTGCTCCAGCTCTGATCTCAAGTGGATCTTTGCTATCATGTTCCTTTCATGTGACGGTGTTGGTACAAATGCTGGGTTTTTTTCCCCAGTCCCAAGAGTAATAGTAAATGTTGCTACAGTTTTGAAAGATGATGCTTGTCTCTGTAAAAAATAGTAAAAGTCTTTGTTAATATTTAACCCTCTATTTGCAAAATGTAGATGTAAAATTCTTAGTTAAGATTATGATCTTCTAAATGTATAGCTGTATATAATCCACAGCCTTAGTGTATTGATGTGTGAACGACTCACAGAGAGGATTTTCCTGTTCCTTGCCTCACATTTTGCCTTTAATTGTAAAATGGCATAGATTGAAACTATTCCAGTTGGCTTTAACCGATCAGTACGTATCATTAAATCTGATATTTGTCTCTGTTTAAATCCTACATGTATCAGAAATGGGGCTGCAGTCTGAAGAATCAGCTTTTTAAGTCTCAAACTTTTAAACCAGGTTTGCCATCAGTGGCAAAATCATCCGGGTGGTTTGCTTGCCACATGCCAGTGTACGGGTCCCTCTCTCAGTAGGCAGCCTTGATGTGCGCTTGCTGATTACAGCAGAACTGGAGAAAAAAGTGGGTTTTTTCATATAATTTAAAAGTTATCGTATTCATAAGCTTGATATCAGCATCGAGTTGGATTATGCTAATGCTTTTCCCTCGTTTACAATGCAAATGTTTACAGTGCAGGGAAATACAACAAACCCGTCGCCTTAAAGAGCATCAAAGATTTAAACTTACACTGTGGGTTTATTCTGTTTTTGGCGTCCTCTTAGATTTCACTATATTAAGAGTAGTAGACAAAATGAAGCCAAATGAGTAAGAAATTATGGTAAGAGGCTAAAATGTTATTAAGGTGAAAAGACTGATATTTTAAAAAGAGTGATAGGTTGAAGTCTTGTTTAGAATGGAATAGCTGGTTTTGCATAGCTTTCAAAGTAATGCTGGAGCAAATTTTTGGTTTTTCTTTTAAATAATCAGGCAGCTGTCTAAAAACATGAAATAAAGATTTTTTTCTAAGCAGACAACGTTTTCATTTTAGACTGTAAATTCTGTGGAAGAACATCTATTTCTTTCCTGGAAGCGCCTACTATACTTTTTACAAATCAGTAAGGCACATTTATAAATCTCTTGATATGAGGTACAGCACATTTTGGAAGAGTTAGTACCACCTTATTTATAATCTTATTTTGTTTACTCTTTTAAGTTCCAATGCTTTATCAAGCTCAAAGGGAATCTTTTCCAACTTTTCTTTTTTGTGTGTTGCAGCACTTTGACGTATTTCTGTTAACTCAGGCAGCAAGACCAAACTGCAAAGTAAAATTTGTAAGAGGGGAGATTGGCAGTTTTTAAATCTGCATTTTTTCAGTAGGAGAACACTGTATGGTCTAAGGCAAAGGTGCAATATTGCCAGAACTTCACTGAAATTACTGCTTTGAGTAGAAATGCCTTTTGGGAGGCAGGGAGGAAGGGAGGCCTGGGAACCACATCAAAGCTTGAGGTTAGAATATCTTGGAGAATGGGTGCCAATAAAGGTATGTCAGCAGCAAAAATAAAACCAAATCTGCAGTAGAAGTCAGGCACTGAATGGGTGGGGGGATGAGAGTAAAATTGCAGAACATTTGGGGGATGTGGAGGAGAAGAAGTATTTTGGAAATGAATGGGAGATGTACAGCGTGGGTTGAAATAGCTAAATGATTCAAGCGGGTGAAATGGTTTGAAATAGTTACTTGCCTGAGGACTTCGTGGATTTTTAATTTTTTTTTTATTACTGCATAAACTTTCCCTGTTAAAAGCTAGCTGTAGATTGTGCGTTACAGCTCTAAGTGCAAGGTGTCTTAAATTGGACAAACATCTCGGTTTTGAGGAGTTACAGTCAGCAGGGGGTTCTTAACCGAGATCATTCTTTTGGCAGAACAGGTACAGGGGCTAACCGTGTGCGCTTGCATCCCTCCTCGTTCCCTTCTGTGATCAGAAATTATTTTTTTATTCATAGCAACATGAACCGTGAAGACCGGAATGTGCTGCGTATGAAAGAAAGGGAAAGGCGAAATCAGGAAATTCAACAGGGTGAAGAAGCCTTTCCACCTAACTCTCCTCTCTTTGCTGAACCATACAAAGTTGTGAGTTTGTGCAGTTCCTACAAATGCAGTTTGTCTAGCAGAAGTCGTATGCAAATTGGTGTATTAAATGTATTTTTATCTGCGTTCTTTTTAGATCCACAGCTCTTACGTCAGCCAAGTATTTAAGCAGGGCTTGAAAGTGAGGATGGACAGTTACTAACCAGCTCTACTGGCAGGTTTATAAGGAGGGGCTGCTTTGTAGGGGGTGACAAAAGGGATGATAAAACCGTAAATTTTTTTGGCTTTCTTCTGCTTTTGCTACAGTGACTCAAACCAATTAAACTGTTCATTGTGTCATGCCACATTGCTTTTTTTCTGGGGTGCTTTAGCCTGTTGCTAAACTTTCTAGCCTTCAATCAATGTAATCCAGACCTGGGTAAGTTCAGAAAGAGAATGTTTTTAAATAGGAAGTTAATTTTAAACGCTGAAATGCCTGATAGGATAGAATTATCAGCTTTAACTAGTATGCCAGTTGTTTGTATATGATTTTTGAGGGAGTTGGCTCTGTTTATGATCTCGTACAGCTTTAAATGTGTGCTAGGTTTCCTCCCAGGTTTGATCTGCTGAACAGAACTGGAAAAAATAACCTAATTCTGGGATAGCTAAAAAGTACCATTTAAGATTTTCATTATGTAGCTCAAAACTCACTTTGAAAGCAAACCTGTGCCCTTATCGCAATTTCAGCTGGTTTGCAAGAGGTGAAACATTGTGATTGAAAACTGTCTTCCTGCAGGAGGAAAGTTGAGAAATGGTTTTTTTGATTCCTGTCTTCCCGTCACTTTACTGTGCTTGATACCCAAATCCCACATGTATGAAGTTAAGTAAAGCTGGTTGGGATATGTGGGTAATCATAGAATCGCTTAGGTTGGAAAAGACCTTTAAGATCATCAAGCCCATAACGATACAATATACCTGATTTGGAAAACAAACTGGTTATATAAGAAAGAACCCTTATAACTGTTGGCAATAAGAATTATGCCAGTATAAATACCAGTTAAGAATTACATACAGTGGTGAGGTTAAGCTGATTTTATTTTACCGTTAATTAAAAAATATTAGGACTAATGCGTTCTGTATTAGAGAAGTAGTCTTTAAGGTGACGTTAGACATCTACAGCTTTTAAACTTGCATCCAGCTCACCAGTGCATTATTTGAAGCACTGATTAGTGCTGTTTCAGCTGTTCCTGCTGCTGATGTAGTACATATTTTCCTTATGCTTTAGGGGCTTAAATTACCGCTTTAAGAACTAAAACTGGGAATTGGAAACAATGGCAAAAAAACCATGGATGCTAGTCATGATCTTAGCCCTGAAATTTAGATTAACTGCAGTAGTTATTGAGTCAATTAACTGAAAGTGAAGTTGTGATTTTTTTTTTTAAAAGCATTATTTTTTAAAATTTTTTTCACAGACCAGCAAAGAAGACAAATTGTCTAGTCGTATTCAGAGCATGCTTGGTAATTATGATGAAATGAAGGATCTTATAGGAGATAGATCGCTACAAAAGCTTGTTGGAATTCCCAAACCAACCGTACCATCAACACCAGATGAAAAATCAAACCAAAGTTTCTTTGGTGATCAGAGACATAATGCTAGCTCACATCAGAGCAGCAAATGGACTCCTGTAGGACCAGCACCTAGCACTTCCTCGCAATCTCAGAAACGGTCCTCGGGTTTACAGAGCGGACACAGTAGTCAGCGTGGCAGTGGCAATAACACTAGCAGTAGTGGCCAGAGGCATGACCGTGACTCGTACAGTAGCAGCAGCATCCGCAAAAAAAGCCAGCATGGGTCCGAACACTCCAAACCCCGTTCTTCCAGCCCTGGAAAACCGTCTGCTGTTTCTTCATTGAGCTCCAGCCATTCGAGATCTCATGGAAATGATCACCACAGCAAAGAACATCAACGTTCAAAGTCTCCCCGCGATCCTGATGCCAACTGGGACTCTCCCTCCCGTGTACCCTCATTTTCAAGTGGACAACACTCTAATCAGTCTTTCCCACCTTCACTAATGTCCAAGTCTAGTTCAATGTTACAGAAACCCACTGCGTACGTAAGGCCAATGGATGGACAGGAATCCATGGAACCGAAGTTATCCTCCGAACACTACAGTAGCCAGACTCACAGCAGCAGCGTGAATGAGCTGAAGCCTAGCAGTAAAGCACATCTAACCAAGCTGAAAATACCTTCTCAACCACTAGATGTAAGTTGCCATCTGATTCCTGGCTTCTTAAACATAAGTCCCTCTGGGCTGGGATTTTCCAGCTTCTTTAAAATCCCAATCTACATAACCGAAATTTAGTTTTTAGTAAACACTGGGGCGGGGGGTTCAGGCAAAGCATCTTAAACTTATGCAGTGAAGACCTGTACTTTAAAGGGCAAATGTATAAGAGTAATTATTTTTTCCTTCTGCTTCTTCCATGTGGATACTGTGATTTTTATTAAATAAAGGCTATGAGACATTCAGAAAGGCTGACTTAACCCAGAGAGGCTAATTTTCACAGAGTGTTTCTGTAGTCAGAAGTTAGTGAAATAGTAGGATATTCGCAAATATTGTGACGAGCTAGATACATATATTGTCATTACTGGGAGCCATGTTGTCTTAGACTAGTGATACTGTCTGCATATATCAGAGTTTCTTTTGAAGTGTGTAGCAATTACTAGATGTGATTATTATACCTTCACCTAGGGAAAATAAGCTAATCCTGAAGCACACCGAATTGAACAGGGTTCAGAACTTGTATCAGGTATGCTGGATACAAAATACTGTTGGGTTAACAACTTGTAATTTGGTAAATCCTGAATGGTTAAGGCACAGACTCTGACCACAGCTCACTTAGAAGGAGAGTGCTTTTCTTAATAATAAAATGTCATTGCATCTCCTATTTAACTGCTTGAATTGTGGTAGCTAGAGAAAAGCATTTGTTGCTGGGATTTCAACAAATAGCAAAATAAGATCCAGGACACAGGTAAGGAAATTTGAAAATAACTTATTTTCTTCTTTGTGAAAACTTGACATGCTAATGCTGATGCGGTGAATCGTATAGTAGCTTTGTTTCCTCTCTGCTTGTAGCAGTCAGGGATGCAGAAGATTGATAGTTTCATAATTATTGCTGCTTCTAGATTGATTCTGTAATGTATGTTTTACTTCATAATGCAGTTTGTCATTACTGTATAGTCATGGTCATGCATTTGAATTCAGATATTATCCAGTGGCTTCTTCAGGAAATGATTGAAAGCTACGATTCTTTCTCCTCTCTCTACAAGTTTTTAATATCACTGACTGCCTATGATCACTTTAACTGTCAACTGAAAAGTAAGATATTATTGTGGCAGTTTTATAGATCTCAGATATTTGCTTTTTGTAACTGGATGTGACTCATATCATAAAAATATGGATCTATGATATTAAAATTAATGTTGCTGGAAAGAATTAGCAAGGTCTGTTTGTATCTATATACAGTCTATATGAATCACGATAAGGATTTTAAGTTTATTTTTAACTGTTTCTAGCCCCTGGGATCTTTTAAGGAAAATTTGCTTTAGGAGACGCTAATCTTGAGTTTCGATTTGTAGGCATCAGCATCTGGTGATGTGAGCTGTGTGGATGAAATTCTAAAAGTGAGTTCTCTACGCTTTTGTTCATAACTTATTTGTTGAAAATACAAACATTACTAAGGAGGTGGAAAGTACTCTGCAGTTGATTAGTGCCTTTTAAATTGACTCAGCTGCAAGTCGTTACAGGAGGGCTCTTCAGTTACTCCTCTAGCACAGGTAGACCTGGGAAAACTGGGGGCAGAGCTGTGTGCAAGCTGGGCACTGGGCGTTGCTGGGCGTGCACATCATCTGCTGGGGATCCTCCCCGCATTCCTGTTCTCCTGGGCCGCCTCCTGGTTAACCTAACCCATTTCTTCCACCAAAATACAGTCCTTACATTCTGATACCTTTTTAGATTACAGTAATTTTTTTTGCTGCCCCACAGCAGAATTTTTCCCTTCTCTTCTACCTAGGTTATTTTCTCAAGTCTTTTTACCGCACGTGTGATCCCCTGGTCATGTGTCTACCATCACAAAAGCATCATCAGATTCCCCTTTAACACTTCTGTGGCTTACCATTTGCTCTGACCTTCAGTGCTCCATGGTCCTCGGAGATGTTCTGAGAGAATACAAGGCACTGTCTTTCCAGCTTCAGGCATTTCATTCTCCCCTTTTTCCTCAAACTTTATAGGCTTCCCTCTCCTAGGATTCTTTCTACCCCTGTATCCTACACGTGCTCTTCACAGTCTGAAATGATCAGACTCTGACTTCTACTGCAGTTTGTGTTCAGGCCAACCAATTTTATTGATTTATGCCTTTCTGCTTGTTGTTATGTCTTAACTATCTGTTCTCATGGGTAACAATTTAAGATTTAGGGTTACGTGCAAAATCTTTGTTACACATTTGGGAAATTGAGATTTGAATATAAAGCTTAGGGAAGTGTGGACAGTGAACTGAAAATGGAGGGGCAGGGTTACCATTTGAATCAAGACTGTAACTTGAAATCTTCGCTTTAATGTTGTTAATAGCTTTTGGTTTTTGTTCTGGTTATAGGAGATGACCCATTCTTGGCCTCCTCCACTGACTGCTATTCATACGCCATGCAAAACTGAACCGTCAAAATTTCCTTTTCCAACAAAGGTCAGTCCTGTAGTCAAATACTGAATGCTGTTGAAAGAGTAACTCCTGTTAAAGATCAGGATTTTGGAACTCTTTTGTATTCAATTCTGTATGGTAGCCTTATGAAGAATGTCATTGTTTTTCCTCTGGTTTACACACACAAGAGCAGTCTGCAAAGATGTCGATAATACAGCTTTCCTCTTTTTAATTTTTGTTTCGTAAATTCAAACCTTCTTCAGCATACTTCTGAAGCTTGAAAATGCCATTGAGCCTTTTTCCCTATTAGGGAAACGCTTTGCACCATTTTGTGTA